ATTAGAATAATAGTAATATTCAAATTTATTTCCATTAATGTGACTGGTGAAAGTAAATAATTTATACTTCTGAAATTGTGGAAAAAATGATATTAAACGCTAATTTAATTAAGCAATTGCATTTTTTATAAGCCCTTAAGTAAATATCAACGTAAAAAACGGTGAAATGTCTTTTCACGCTACTATCATCGAAAGTTTGTAAATACCCAGTAAGTTAGTGGTTCACTGACCCTCATCTGAACATTACTACCTACAGGGCTATTAACTAATTAATAAGGAAATTGACAAGGGTTTCGGCTTAAACCGTGACAAGTTCCGATTTGTCCTAGGCGGGGTGTGCGATAGACTTACCTCCACGTGGTGCACCCTGGGCAACGTATACTCATACGGCAATAAAGTCTATTAACTGGCATTTGACTTCTCACTCCAAATTACCATCACCCTACTATTTGGTCATATTCGACTACTTCCACAGTACTCACCTCACCTTTTTTCTATCTTTGTGTCAGTCTCATTTACATTTTTGAAACACTCTTCTGCTACCCCCCCCCCCTCCCGACTTTTTGGCACTTTGATGTTTCTCCTCTCTATGAAGCATGAAGGCAACTAAAGAGCCAATGATAACTATCAAAACGCCTGCCATTTGATATGAATAAATTTCGTCTTAGGCAACTAAATTGGAGTCCTCTCATTCTGGAAGATTATGAGTATTCCATCTTATAAGAGAGGTGGAACTAGAGACACTTGGTTGAATAATTGTGCTTTTCGTTTTTATAGAATGGTCCGCTCTCTCTCTCTCTCCCTCCCTCTTTCATTTCCCGAGCAACATTTTTGATGACTCATACAATTGTTGAGTGGAGTAAAGGGGGAGTGCGGCACTTTGAAAAAAATGTCCGGGTGGGAAAAAAAGAACAATTACCTAGGCCCATGGGAAGACCGCAGTTAGTCGGGAAGCCTAATCAAATATTTGCGGTGGACTTGAAAGAAGCCCACAAATCACATCTCTCTTGCACTAGACTGACACTTATTGAATTCCCGTGGTCGAACCTGGATATGAAGGATCATTTCATAGAGAAGCAGCTAACTATGTAATCAACCGTTTATCGTGTAGTCTAGTCATTAGAAGAAAGTTTTACTGATAATATTAGGCCGTCGTTTGGGAGACAAGTTGCCTTCTTGGTGTCTTAGTTGTCATGACCTTAATAAAGGGATAATTGAGAGTTGAAAGGACAAAGTAGGGTTCGACTAATCTGCTAGCATGCACTAAACTACAAACAAAAATTCTTGTCCAAGTTTTGCACTAGAGGCTCTCAGTAAGAGTATTTCAATACAAATCGAATTAGTGCCCTATTCAACAACTTCACAAACTAGGCTACTGCAAAACAGGAATGTGGCAGATTCAGGGCCAAATATCTTCATTAAGGAAAACGGAGTGGGGGGGGAGGTAGGAGGGTGTTGAGTCAGTTATCTTGCAACCAGGGCGTTAAAGAAGTTGTCAGTTTGATGATTAGATGAAGCAATAGATTGACAACTAGCTTGCAGATCGGAAGTGAGTCACCGGGTCAATTATTCGACAATGTTAAGTAACTAGATAAAATCGATAAGTCGAGCAGGTTTCAAGGTCATTCACTCACAGTCATTATCACGACAGTCGTTTCACGTGTCTCAAATAATGCTTTGCATTCTCCCAAGTTAAAGTAAGACTGACCCATAGAAGATATGGGAAGGGAAAGGGAGCCCTCCTCTTCGACCACTACTGTCACCATCTAAAGCAGAAATTCTCCTTCCGATGCACATATCCCAGGCGCCGTAAAGTCTAGCACTAGAACAGTGGGATCATTAATTAGGGACCAAATTTCCTTGTACGAACTTTCCGAAGTAATCGCACATTTATGCTATTGTCTCCAATGCCTGCATAATCAACATACGATTCACTGTTATATTCTTATTTTCTGGTGTTAAAGCTTGATGTTACGTAATAAGTAAGCATTTTTTTAAAGAGAACGCACATTTTTACTGTGAGTATATATATTGATTAGATTTTTGATATCAGAGAGTCTTTAATTTAAATTGTGCACCTGACGTATATTTGGCAAGATCAACCACCCTTCCCCCCNCCCCCCCCCCCCCCACCACCACCACCACCCTTCATTAGGCTATACGACATCAATTGATGAAATGAAACGGAAGTTCAACCATTTATAATATTCAGATTGGGAAACGGAAGGGAATTCAGCCCATGCTAATATTTATTGTTTTACTGGAATCCCTTGGCGCCAACAGGAATGACCTAATTCAAAGTCTTGGGCGACTTTGAAACATGCAATTGCCTTCTGCTAAGGGAGAAAGAATGTTGAGAAATTTTTTAAATAATCAGAATTCAGCGAATTTCTTTCAAATTTTGTAAATACCCAGAGGAATTTGCTAATGTCATTTGATCCGGCATTCAAAGAATATCAGTAATAATAACTAAACTTTTGCAAAACATTCAATAAGGGCATTCGCAGCTTAAATTGAGAACAATCTATGGATAGGGGATTTTTTGAGGATATACTCGATATTATAGGGCCAAAACAAAGATGAAGATCGTGGAGACACATTGATTGGAAATGGAAACTTCATTTTCTGATAAACAACAACGAAAGTTTAACTCAAGTATTGCAATCTAAGCTCTATAATTTAAAAAAAAATCAGTCGAATTAGCCTCAGTTAGTATCAACCACTTTCGTCGTCCTTAAACCCATTGTTGACAGCACCTTCAAAGCCAGAAGGGATTACAACTATTGTTCAGTGAGTGAATCGCTCAATGTGTTTTAAGCGGATATTCACAAATAGACCCATTACTACATTCCAGTAATATGGGGTGTGCGATAGACTTACCTCCACGTGGTGCACCCTGGGCAACGTATACTCATACGGCTAAAAAGTCTATTAATTGGCAGTTGACTTCTGACTTCAAACTACCCTCACCCCATTGTATGTCATATTCCACTACTTCCACAGTACTCACCTCCACTATTTCCACTTTTGTGTCTGTCTCTTTTACTTCTTTGAAACTCTCTTCTGTTCCCCTCTCCCTCTCGACTTATTTCACTTTGATGTTCCTCCTCCTCTGTGAAGCCTGAAGTCAACTAAAGGGCTTATGATAACTTTCACAACGCCTGCCATTTGATATAAACATTCCAGTAATACTATAAGAAGTCAAGGCGGTTGTAAGCAAGTGCCACTAGGATCTAGAAGAGTGAGCTAGGATAAATTTTAAACATTTATTTATTTATATTAAATGGCAGGCGTTTTGATACTTTTCATTTGCCCTTTAGTTGACTTCAAGCTTAACAGAGGGAAAGGAACATCAAAGTGAAAAAGTCGAGAGGGGGGAGGGAACAAAAGAGTGTTTCAAAGATGTAAAAGAGACAGACACAAAGGTAGATAAGGGTGAGGTGATTACTGAGGAAGTAGGCGATTATGACATACAGTGGGGGTGATGGTTGTTTGAAGTCAGAAGTCAACTGCCAAATAATAGATCTTTTATCCGTATGTATATGTAGATCGATCATTGTTTGGGAAGCCTGTGCATGCACATCACATTTGCTCGATACGCCATCAGTAGTACCACTTCACTTTCCGGAGGTCCCCATTGCGTGCGGGATTCCTTTGGCCAACCTTGAAGATAGGTCTTCAAATTCAAAAAATTTACCAATCTCTCTAAAACACCTTAAACTGACGTCACAAAATGCACTATAATTCAAAGTCTGCAGCACCTAACTCCGCTAAATTTTATGTCAAATAATTAGAGAAATGCACTTTTAACGGTAATTGCATTTATCTATTAGAAAGCTAAGAATGAAAGGGGAATATAATTATTTTATTTCTATGTCCATTTAAGTAGAGAACTTTCTTTGTTTTTTTTACCCACCTGTTTTAAGTTAGCGTAGACTTGTCTTTCACGAAGCCTGTAATTGCGTTGCTATAAGTGGTGCTGTGTTAGTGCAAGTGAAGTTATGTTCCAGTGCAGAGGCCATCGAATAAATCCATCTTGAAAGCATCAGATTGATGACATAGCGTTTGCTCTAGTTAGCCAACCGAATTTGGTAAATGAGCTGTCTATCAAAGGCATGCCGAAACAGACCCACGAACTAGACCAATCTTGCCTTCAATTTTAGATACATCGTCAGCTAATATTTAAATAAAATAAAATTTCCTTAATTGACAGAAGAGAAGCCATTTTTGCGCATGATTTGACTTTAAGGCAAGTTGACATAGTTACATATTTGCCTCTATGTTATGTCATGAACAAAGGGTGTACGATAGACTTACCTCCACGTGGTACACCCCTGGCAACGTATGCTCATACGACACAAAAGTCTATAAATCGGCAGTTGACTTCAAACTACCATGACCCCGCTGTGTGGCATATTTGACTACTTCAACATTACTCGCCTCACCTACTAACTATTATGACCCGACACTATGTCATATTACACTACTCACGGTATTCATCTTACCTTTTCTATTCGACTACTTCCACAGTACTCACCTCACCTTTTTTCACAACTTCGACTACTTCAACCGTACTCACCTCACCTTTTTTCAACCTTTGTGTCTGTCTCTTTTACATCTTTGAAATACTCTTTTGTTATGCCATATTCGAATATTTCACAGTACTCATCTCACCTTTTTCCACGTTTCTGTCTCTTTTACATCTTTGAAACACTCTTCTATTCCACTCCTCTCTACTTATTGGCACTTTCATGTTCCTCCCCTCTATGAATCCCGAAGTCAACTAAAGGGTTAATGATGACTATCAAAACGCCTGCCATTTGATATAAATAGATAAATGTCATGAACAAAGGATTTTGAATCTGATCGCGAAATTGGGCTCAATTCCAAGTAAGCCGATAAGGGCACACGATTGTTATACGATGAATTTAGTGGTAGTGAAATGCATCCGTAGTATTCTTCATCAACTTAAGCAGCCATCTTATTTCGCGAAGCCTTGGATGCACATTTTTTGTGTTGCCATAGTGCCTCAGTCTTCAATTCTCTTTGCCCTACCCATATCCGACACCGCAACCACCTTCCTTTCAGTGTTCAGCATAAACCAACCAACAAGCATCCTCTTCCTTCTCCTTCTCCTCCTCCTCTTCCTAGGCAACCCTGATTCCACCTTCTCTGAGGAGAAGGTTAATTTAATCAATGCGATTTGACCTGGAGAGGTGTGTGGAGTTGATTCATTCCACGTCCCCTTGCAACTTTTCTTTGCAAATCCCGGGAATATAGTAACTGAGAAGCCTCTGTGAATAATTAATATTTAGGGATTATTTGTTTTTATTAGCATTATAAATTAGAGTAATTTTTCGTTTTTACGAGTGAGGTGACTCATAGAAACGTTATAATTGCTCGTTTAAGGCAATTAGAAGCGGAAGTGTTGAAAATATTGTCGGAGCTAGGAGGCTGGTGGAGCGGACAACGTTTTCAAGGTTGGCTAAAAGTACCCCGCACGTGATAGCACCTTCTGGAATGCGCATGCTTACTATCGATGGCGTATTGAGCAAGTGTGGTGTGCATATAAAGGCCCCCCTCATCAATATATATATATATATATATCAAATGGCAGGCTTTATGATGGTTATCATTAGTCCTTTAGTTGAATTCGGGCTTTACAGAGGGGAGGAACATCAAATCGAAAAAAGTCGAGAGGGGGGGGGAACAGAAGAGTGTTTTAAAGATGAAAAAGAGACAGAGAGACACAAAGAGAGAGAGAAAAGGTAAGATTGGTACGGTGAAAGCGGTCGAATATGACATGCAGTCGGTCATGACAGTTTGAAGTCAACTGCCGGTTTGATAGACATTTTAGCCTTGTGAGTACACACGTGGACGTAAATCTATCGCGTACCCCTTTAAAATAAGATAGTTATCCCAAAAGCATCAATCTCTAAACAAGGATTTTTGGATTGTGAAATTCATTTATAAGGAAGGATAGAGAAACACTCTTATCATTTTTGATCATTTGTGAATTGAGTGAGGTTGTAACGATATCGTGTTCATTAGCAAATTTAGAGCTAATACAATTGAAACCCTCAGATGTATCAGCTGACAAGGAAGCATTTGAGTGCTTGAAACTGTGCATAATTGGTGACCAATTAAAATGTGGAATAAATGCAATTTCAACGATATCCTGATTACAAGTACTTTTATGTTTTGCCTAATTTTGTTATTGCCCAATCACAGTGTATAAACAGGGAAAAATTGTATTTACTATTCCGGGAGAGACGTTTCTCTATCCCAATTGAGCTTTGATGTGAACTTACCTGAAAAGGGCTCCATAAAAGCCTATTAGAAGATCTTTATGGCCTTTGAACGAGGATAACAGATTTTTCTTCGTGAATTGATTTATTGATTATTGACTTTTCAGCCACCTTCTCCATTAGTGGCTAATCGAGAGGCCAATCGATTTCCCCCTCATGTGCCGATCCATATAAGTAATTACAAGTCATTATCACGTTGTCATAGGTGATTTACAATGCATCTAGCTTCTTTCAACTCAATACATTTTGTCTCAGTAGACAACTAGCAATATGCCAGATTTAACCAATTTAGCCTAATTTAACTGTAATTGCCAAAACTGTTTTTTATTGATCTCGAGGTTGCCATATGAATACTGCTCTCCTTTGTTAATATTGTTTTTACGCAAAGAGGTATTATAGTGCTCTGTTGTCCCAGTTGGTGGCTAAATTGTACCCAGTGTTCGAATAATATGCATGTGAATGGTAGTGTGAAATCTACTGTCGTGATGGCTTGCCACCCACAAACAGGACATGTTTAAACATGCCTCATTTGCAAGTGCGAATTTTCTCAAATTTTAACGCACTTTCACAGAGTAGAATCTAGCAGTGTCCCCTACCCGACCCCCCCCCCTCGCCCCCCATTGTCTTCAAATAGGGCCAATTGCCGGACATTCAACGAGCAATTTACAATCCACACTACAAACTTTGCTGGTGGATTTGACCTTGACCCAGTTGACACTGAAATTGCGATGTAGTTATTTCAGGTTTATAGAAGCTACGCTGCTGTTGTGTAAATTGTCTTGTCAAAACATCACACTAGTTTGACTCAAGGTGTCGTGTGTTTCATCGCGGTGGGAGCAGTCTTATTAAAAGCGCATCTCAAAGACCCTGTCACCATTCACTATATTGCCATGAGAATTATTCCAGTGCATTATTGTATTAGCATCTTGAAGAAAAATTACTACTCCCCCGGGTATAGCATGACCTTCAATTCTCAGTCGTATAAAATACTCTCCGTTTGAAAGGTTAATTATCAAGTTGCCTCGATTCAGTCTCCTAGATCTCTGGGTGAGAGGTGGGGGGGGG